CTTTCCACTAATTCATGCTGCCACCCCTGTGATACAGGGTCACACAGGAAGGTTAAATCTGACTCCAGCGGGCTTATGGCCTGGATCGAGAAGCTGGGAGCGATAGTCATTCATTCAATAACCATTTATTGAGTACCCGCCATGCCCCAAGCCCTCTTCCAGATGCTCAGGACACACCAGTCGTCAGCAGGGGCCAAACCCTCGTGCTCACAGACAGCACTTGCGTTTGGTGCCCTGTTCCTTAGGGGATGCTGGATCGTTAGTCCCGAGTTCAGACCTGACTCTGCCCCTCGCGCGACCTCTCCACATGGAGACAGCGCGGTCGGTCCACTGGGTCCAGCTCTGGATCCGTGATTCTGCGGCTTGCCCCCTGAGGATCCCTTTTCTCGGGAGCTGACCGTCTGCGTGTGAACTCCCTGAGTGTTCACTACAGCCAATCCGGGCAACACTCTAGACAATCATCTCAGAGAGAAAACGAGAAACAACACGATTTCTTCTTAGTGCAGATGTAGAAAGAGTTGGCGATGCAACAGCTCGGGCGTCTCTCGATGCCCATGTTTCCCGCGAGGCTGAACGGCGACACTGGGCAGCAGCAGCTCCACGAGGTGGTTTGATTTGCAGCTGGTTTTACAGAAACTACTCCACTGATGAAAAAACATTTTAGAGGAAAAACATAAACCCTCTATCTGGGCTGAAAATATAACATTTTGTGGTGCATATTGAGCTTCTGCACAGAAAATAATATGTAGTTGATTTGATTCGCAAAATAAGCCTTTAAGGTCTGTGATAGACTGTAATTATCTCGGAATCATTTTTGTACGAAGGGAGCATGAAAACTCGACTCTGTGCTGTCAGAAATGTTTTCTTTCATTCCTTTTTTTCCTTTCTAATCTTCCCTAAAGTATTGGTGTGAATTAAACTCACCGAGGAGGAAACCAGCGAACATCTCCCATAATGCAGTCACGAAAATAGGGGGAGGGTAGTTATTACTCCCATCTGGGACGCCAGATGTTTGCAGACTGGTGCGGGAGCGCAGCGTTGCTGACCCCAGCCCAAGACCGAGTTAAATGCATTCGAAATGTCCTCTTTCCGGCTCCAAACATGCACGAGATGTAATCGAATAAGAGCAAAAACAAAAATAATGAAACCTCTAATCTGCTAAGAAGGCAGGAAAATTCACTTCAAAGGGACGTGGCTTCCCTGGACGCTGGTTGGACTTCCCTGTTCGTCATGACGGAGGAGGGCAGCGGAGGGTTCGGATGGTGCCAGGCAGGCCGTCCTCGTTTCGATAAAACTACACCCTCTCTGGCTTCTGCCAAAAGTGGGAAATCCAGCACAGCATGTGTCCTCAGAACTTTGATCTCGTAACGTCAGAAGTAATCTAAAATTTCCTTTATTCATATATCTGCAGGGTCAAGAATGGACACTATAACGAAACTGAAAATAGCCTTAATCAGTTGTAATATTTCTTTGCCATTTGTTTAAAGCCAGATGATCTATCCACCCATTTATCATCTTCACAGAGGGTCTCAAGGAAGTGTCCTCCTCCGGGAGGGGCCCGCACCCCTCACCTTGTCCGTCAGTCACCGTCGGAGAGCGCAGTCTCGTTTTCAGTCTCCGCTGGGAGCTGGGAGGGAACTGCCGAGTCTACAGTCCTGAACTTGTGCCATCAACCTCTGCACCTCAAGAACTTTTTAAGTACAAAACATTTGAGAAATGCCTGTGACGATGTACGCGCAATTTGATAGGTCTATGTGATGGTGAGTTTTCCAAGTTCAGAAAAAAACACATAGTAATTGTCTTGACCCACAATGGCATGAAACAGTTCTCTTGACAGTTTGATGACAAGGATACGAGGCCGGAGCTTTTGTGCAGCAAAGATCATGCGTTTGCTTAACTCTGTTGACAGTAAAACACAGACTTCAGCTTGTCCGGGGGCTCTTGGTTGAAACTGGAGTTTTCTGGTTTTCTTCTTTAAGACCAAACAAGATTACAGGTGCGAGGTGCTGAGCAAAGACCTTGACAAAAATGTTTAAATAATTGAACTTGAAGGAGACATAAATAAATTAGGAGAGAATTTGCATCGTATCAGGGTAACGAATTTCTTAATGTTTGCCCTCACAGCCAGGTGCTAGTACACCTTCCTTCTCATTTCAGTCATAGGGGGCCTACACAGAAGTTTTTTGATGCGAATAATTTTTATATATACTAGCTAGATTGTTATATGGATGAGTCCTGGAATAAATAATTTTGTAAGGCAGAGAATTTATTCTGTTGTAAAAAAAAATGTACCCGTTTTGGAAGTTTGGACTTTTCATCGAATGGCCCAAATATATCACAGATCTTCAATATCCCGCCTCCTGTACTTTCTAATCAATACTGAAACAGGGCTGCAAGACAAGATGAAGATATCCTTGGTTCCTTGCTACACTGTGTAGAGATCCATTACAGATTGCTCCAGATCCCTTCTAGTCCAAAGGTTTTATAATAAAGTTTTTTTTTAGATTTTATTTATTTATTTTCAGAGAGGGAAGGGAGGGAGAAAGAGAGAGAAACATCAATGTGCGGTTGCTGGGGGTCATGGCCCACAACCCAGGCATGTGCCCTGACTGGGAATCGAACCTGCGACACTTTGGTTCGCAGCCCCCGCTCAATCCACTGAGCTATGCCAGCCAGGGCGTTATAATAAAGTTTTATTAAAAGCCAATGTTTGTTAAGTTTTTGAAAGACTAAGTGAGTCTTCTAAGCTACACTAAGGTTTTTCATTTTGCATACATAACATTTCTATGAAATCTTTGTGTAATATATGCATGCACCAGCAAGACTACCCTCCACCTCGGTTTTCTCATCGACAAAATGAAGAATTTAAAAACTTGCACCTAATAACTCTAACATCATACAACTATAGATCATTGCCAGCTGGTGGGAAAAACGATCGAAAGGAAATGAGTGCGCAGGCCCTTGACAGTGGGCTCTGAGCCTCAGAGGGGAAACCTCTGCCTTGTAAGTATCTTCCGGGTACGGACACGGTGTCCATGTACAGAACACTAGCAGGCCCTGGATTCTTTCTGATCCAGGGGACTTATCATTACAGCCTCTCCCAGGCTCGGCCCGACGTGCTGTCATTTTCATCTCACATTTGCGACAGAGGAGCCTGTTCCTCACTTCCCTCGCAGACAGAGCCAGGAATGAGAGTGTTACATCCACAGGCTCTCCTACGACATCTGAAACACATTCCAAGGGCTTCTCTCAACAGATGTCGTGATGAGAGTTTCTCGGTGCAGCCGGGGCTGGGGTGGGGGAGTGGAAATTTAGGTCACACTGCGGGGAGAGAAGCAAAGGGAAAATCCTTGCCAAGGAGTCAGTGCAGAAAGCCAGGAAAGACCTTGTGGATCTATGGCTTGAGTGTGGGGTCTCGTTGCTTTTCTGGAAACGGGGACATGAGGGTTCCCTCTGGCTTTGTCCTGGAGGTATATGCTATGCAGAGGAAGGGTGTGCCCTTTCTGGCACTACAAGATGCTCTGGAGTGTTCTCGTATATGTCCTGCCTCAGTTCTAGAACCAGCCACTTCTCTAACCAGCCCTGGTTCCTTTTACTGGAGAATGAAACCAAACTCTGAGCATTGGGTGAGCTCACTGTTACTGGAGTGTCATTGCTTCTAGTACCTCTCAGTTGTTTAGTATATATGCTGAGCCGTGCGTGCGTGCACGTGTGCGCGTGTGTAATGATGTATATCTATATTAACAAGTTTATACAAGTCTCTGAGTCAAATCCAGTGCCGCATAGATCATTCTGGTCTCTTCCCATTATCTTCCCACAGCAAAAGTGAGGTTGTCTCGTACATTTGTTTGGTCACATTCTGCATTTCATTGTGACCTCCTAAATTATTTGTGTAAATGTGAAACATTCGGATTTTCTCTTTGTGTTGTAAAGTTCTATGGGTTTCCACACAAGCTCAGTGCCCCATGCCCACCATTAGTGTATTGCATGAAATAACTCCCCCCCCCCCCCGAGAAAATCTCCTCTGCTTGCCTCTCCCATCTATTTTCACATGTGGTCTACTCTCTCATTTAGAACCATGGACATATTAGTCACAGTTATTTTCAGTTCCCTTTCTGATAATCTAACATCTATTTCATATCCGAGTCAGATATTTCATATCTGATGCCTGCTTTGTCTCTTTAAGCTGTGATGTGTTTCCTTGTTTGTGGCGTGCCTTTTCGTTGAAAGTTAGACATGTTGTGGCAACAGAAACTAAGGTAAATAAGCCTTTAGTGTTAGAATTTATGGTACTCTGGCTTGGAGTTGGGCTTTAAAAAAATACCATTGATGGGGTGGCTTAAACAGCAGACATTTATTTCTCACTGTTTTGGAGGCTGTGAAGTCCAAGATCAGGACTCCCCAGGGCCATGCCAGCATGGCTGGCTTCTGGTAAGAGCTTCATCTTGATTTGTAGGCAGCTGTTTTATGATGTCCTCACACGGCAGGAAGAGAGGGGCAGAGAGGAACACGCTCTCTCTTGTCTCATCTTACGAGGGCACTGATCTCATCCATTTAATAAGTACTTTAAACATAAATTATCAGGAACAAAACAAGAACGCTCACTTTTACCGCAGCTATTTAAAATTGTACTGGAAGTTCTAGCCAGAAAAAAATTAGAAAACAGAAAGAAATAAAAGGCATCCAACTTAGAAAGGAAAAAGTAGACCCTTCACAGACAACAAGATCCTATATAAAAGAAATCCCCAAAGAATCCATATGAAAGCTACTAGAGCTAATAAATAAATTGATTAAAGTTGCAAGATGTAAGATCAATACACAAAAATCATCTATGTCACCATATACCTGCAATGAAGAATCTAAAAAGGAAATCAAGAAAAAAGTTCCATTTCCATCTAAAAGAACCAAGTATCTAGGGATAAATTTAACCAAGGAGGTGAAAGACTTGTACAATGAAAACTATAGAACATTATTGAAAGAAATTAGAGAAGACCTAAATAAAGACTATACTTCCAGGGATCGTTTCTATGGTTTGTTACTAGAGAAGCTTCTCTGAACGTGAAGAGCACCCACAATCATGAGGAGGAGATGGCGTGTTCTCTCCTGAGCGCGAAGCTGGTTCTTGGTGTTGCTTTGGTAACTGCCATTTGCCATTGGCCATTGATGATCATTCGTCTTTCTCCTTGGAGGAAGTAAGAGGGAGAGAACACCATCTGAGTGGTTTTCTAAAAGAAGAAGAAGAAGAAGAAGAAGAAGAAGACCTAAATAAATGGTCAGACATCCATACTCAGCAGTGGAAGACTTAAACTTGTTAAGACAGCAGTATTCCATAAAGTGAGCAACAGGTTCAATGCACTTTCTATCAAATTTCTAAGACTTTTTGTTGTTGTTGTTGTTGCAGACCTCAAATTCATATGGAATTGCAAGGGGCTGAAAATAACTAAAATGTCCTTGAAGAGAAACGAAGTCAGAGCACTCCCATCTCCTGACTGGAAGCTTGACCACAAATCTGCAGAAATCAAAGCAATGTGCTACTTGCACAAGGACAAACATGTGAGCCAGTGGATTGGAATGAAGAGTCTAGAATAAACCCGGACGTATATGGCCAACTGACTTTTGACAAGGGTGCCGAATCCATTCAATGGTGAAAGATCAGTTTTCCTTAACAAACAGTAATGTGTACCTGGGTTTCCACATGCAAAAGAAAGAAGTTAGGCCCCTCCCTCACACCATATACAAAATTTAACTCAAAATGAATGACTCACCTATATAAGAACTAAAGCCGTAAACTGCTAGAAAAACAACATAGGGGTTAATCTTCATGACCTTGAATTTGGCAATAGTATGACCTAAAAGCACAAACAACAAAAGAAAAAAATAGCTAAATTAGAATTCATCAGGATTGGAACCTTTGATACAACAAAGGATACCATCATCAACAACAACAACAAAACCAACAAGCAAAATCAAACAATCCAATTTTCAAAATGGGCAAAGAACTTGAGTAGACATTTCTCCAAAGAATATACATAAATGCCCAATAACTACATGAAGCTGCTCACTCGGTCAGTAGAGAAATGCAAATCGAAACCACAATGAGATACCTCTCTTCACCTACTACAATGGCTGTCACTAAAGAAAGGAAAGAAAGGAAAAGAAAAAAATAGTGTTGGAAGACTATGGAGAAATGGGAACCTTTGGGTATTGCTTGAGTGAAAAGTAAAATGGTGCAGCCACTGTGGAAAAGAGTTCGGCAGTTCTTCAAAAAGTTAAACAAATCACCACGTGAAACAGCAATTGCACTCCCGGGTATGTATCCAAAAGAATTGAAAAAGGACTTGGACAGATACTTGCATTGCAGCAGACTTAACCTTGTATTGCAGCATCATAGCCAGAAGATAAAAACAGTCCAAGTATCCATCTGCAGACTGTGGATGCAAAAGAGGTGCTGTCATAAATCTAATGAAAAGTAACCTCACGGGGTGATCTGATCATAATTTCCTAACTGGGCAGGCCTTGCGACTAGTCACACCTCAGGCATACAACTTCACTAGAAAAAGATTATCGTTGCCCTGTCCGTTGTTTTTGCATGTCAAGGCCTTTGAGATGCCTCTTCTTCCAGTCCCCGTGGAAGGATAACCACCCTCACAAGAGCCCATCATTCGTGAGCGCTCCTGTAATCTAATCGCAGAGGTTTCTCTGCCTGGTACGCAGTCTCCCTTAGGTTCCTTCCTCAATTCCGAATGTGTAAAAGAAACTGCAAAATTCATTCTCTGGGGCATTTGAGACCTTGCTTCCCTGCATGTTATCAGTTTGGCTCAAATAAACTCATAAAACTTCTCTAGCGGTTCGGATGTTTCCTACATCGACAAGATGAATGAACAGAATGTGGTATACACAGACACTAAAAATAGATGAAGTTCTGCTTGGAGGTTCGACATAGATGAATCTTGCAAACGGCAGGCCAGGTGAAATAAGCCAGACAACCAAAGGACAAGTATTATATTATTCCACTTAGAGGAATTATAGAGAATAGGTAAATTTATAGGGACAGAAAGTAGATGGTAGGTTGGCGGGAGACAGGAACGAGGAGATACTGCTTAATGAGTAGAGTTTCTGTTTGGGGTGATGAAAACGTTTTGGAAAAAGACAGTGGTGATGTTTGCTTTGTCATAATTAGGAATATTGGGTCTTGGACCCAGTTCCTGGCACCGAGCAACGGAGCCCTTATAATCTCCCGAGAGACAGTAGTGTCTTTTGTTATTCGCAACAAGCCTCTTTGGATCTCACCTGAGTTTGCTCGAATGCAGTGACTCGGGGTGGGGGGCGCCTAGGTAGCTTCGGGATGGGGGCTAGCGCCAGAAGCTCTAAGCCATGATTAGAAGACTGGAACTTGCAGCCTCACTCCCCACCCCCCCCCTCAGGCCCGTGCCCACGTCTCTGGGGAAGGGAGGGTGGCTGGAGGCAGGGCGCGGTAAACACACGGGAACAGTAAGACTCAGAGAGCTTCTGAGCTGGTGAGCACACGAAAGGAGGATGGTGCGCTTGCAGAACGAGCTACCACTCAATGGGTCGAGTTTCTGTGTAGGAGGAAGAGAAACTTTGGAAATAGTGGTGGTGTTTGAAGAACATTGTGAATGTAAATGAAAGCCATTTGAAATGATTAAAATGACTAATTTTATGATATATATACATACATATATAAAATCATATTTTAGAAAAGCAAAAAAAAAAAAACCCCAACAAACAAAGATCAGGGAAGTTGGAGAGCTTGTAAATAAGCTATCGGTGGAGATGGGATTCAAACCCAGGTCTCTCCGATTCTATGGTCTGTGCGTTCTCAAACACATAAGGGCTAAATTAAACTCCGCAGGGCTGCCATTCATTTAGAATTTTTGAGCCAATAAGAGGTAGAAAAGAGTGGCCTTTACAGAAGATCACCCTCGTGGGAGGCGAAGTGTGGCTACAAGTGGGCCCCAGCAGGCCAGCTAGAAGGCTCGTGCTGTAAAGCGCTGAAGAGAGAACCCGGGTCTGGACCAGGGCTGTGTGGTCCTGAGGATGGGGAGGAAGAGGGTGAATCCAAGTGCAGTTCCGGGGAGGAAAGGACAGTCCTGGAGATGCTTGGAAACTAGGAAATGAAGGACGGCAGGAGTCAGCTCGGGCAGACATGAGTGGGGTGCAGCTTCGGGCAGAAGTGAGGTGTTTGAAGAAGGTCTCACATTATCCCAGTACGCTCGAAATGAATTCTCGTCTCCCAACCGCGTGACCTCTGGAGTCCCAGCAAAATTGAGCTCATCGCTGCTGGTTTCTGGGCCCCTGGGGCTGAGAATACAAGGAGACCGTCTGCAGGCAGTCTCCTTTTCGTGGCGCAGATGATTGAGTTAATGTAAACACAGTGGGGACGGGGGGGTAGGGAGAAGACACAGGTAAAATACAAAAGATACATCTTTTCTATCTTCTGCACAGGTTAATCCAGTGATAATTAGCACCTTGTTTCATTGTCTTACCTCCCTAGGCACAGTGTTCAAGGTCGTATCTGCCTTTTGGCTAAGGGGCCAGGTTTTGTTGTACTTGTTTTTAGATAAGGACTCTAACATACAGGTGGCTAAGTACCCAACAGTGCATGTGACCAGTGGTGGGGAAGGGAGGGATGCCAGGCCAGGCCAGGCCAGGCCAGAGTGGCGATGGAGTGGGCCGGGAGAGGGTTACATTTCCGCCTGCCTTGTCCCCTGGCTCCGATGGGAATCTGCCTGTGTAGGAGCGGAAGAGAAGCCACAGCCTTCACCCGTAGCTGCTGCAGCTGACGTGTGGTGGACAAGTCATCTTTGCAGCCTTTGGAGACTCGGCGGGGCTCTCCAGAAACACAGAGACTGCAGATACATGTGCTGTGTTCCTCAGGGCTCGCGTTCCCCCCCAAGTGACCACCTAAGTGGTAGAGTTTTAGAGAACTTGCCAAATCTGTCTATTTAACAAGCCAAAAAACAAAAACAAAACCCCGAAAAACCTCAAAGCAGGTCTATTAGTTCAATGAAGATTTTACATATTTATAGGCTCAATTGCCATCCCTTAGGACTCTCGAGGTTTTCACTACAGAAACTATTTTGCAGCTGAAGAAAATATTCTAAAAAAGATAGCCCAGAAGAGGTTTCCGATCCATTACAGCAAAACAACAGCACACGCACACGCACAAACGCAAAGGTCCGGTCACAGGTAGTGCTACTACAAAAATGAGCCGGAGTCTACATGTTAATCATCCTTGGGAAAGTGGCTAGAAATGTGATGATGGTGTTCAATTCCATAGACGCGAGTTTCTGTGAGAGCAGGGAGCTTGTTGCGTGTGTTCACTGTTGTATCTCCAGTGTCCGGCCCAGGCACATAGTAGGTGCTCATCTGTTCACTGAACAGAGAGACGGTAACACTGCTAGTGGACTTTAGGGAGGCCATGTAATCATTCTAATTGCATCATGGGTGGAAGAAACCCTAAAGCGTGACATCAGAGTAATATAGGATGTTAATACACTGACAGGGGGAATTGTTGCTTCGGTACAAAAATCCCATAGCTATGAATTTAAATCTGAAATAATTGTACTTGGAAACATTTTCAGGTTGCATTGCAAGCTAGAGGCTGACGTCACTTAACTGGCAGTGGAAAGAAACCAGAAATTACAACTCTTAGTTGCTTCTCAGTGTTGTGTCTCTTCCATCTCATTCCCCTTCACTTCAGGGGGGACCCGTTTTGTTGCACTTACCCAGTTTGACTTGCAGGAGGATGCTGATGCACCTCGCTCTGTTGGCCTGGATGTGGCCGAGTCTCTTCTACTTTTGGGTTGCCTGAGAAGAACTGGACTACTTCAAAACTACCCTCACCCACTCCGTTTCCAAACATGTATCTCATTTATCCTTGATCACAGGTAGCTCAGATGATGCAGTCTTCAAAGCGGTGCCTCCCAAGCTCCAGCGTGTGCAGGGATTCCTGGGGACCATGGGGAAATACAGACCCTGGCCCCTGAGGCCGGGGGTGGGGCCTCCAGGGGAGCCGATGCTGCTGGTCCCCGGACCACACATTGAGTAGCAGACTGGGTTGTGGGCCCCTTGTGTCTTTCAGTCCTACGGGATGTGTGAGATGCTAGACTAGCCTGGTCTCCTGGCCTGAAACAATTTTGAGTCAGTGACACGGAACTTCTGGTGCGATTCTCGGTTTCTTCCAGAAATTTCTTCTAAG